TCTTAAAAGAGAATATCTATTTTTCCAACTTCTGAACTGGGTTTTTTAAAACTTTTAAAAGAAAGAAAGAAAGAAAGAAAGAAAGAAAGAAAGAAAGAAAGAAAGAAAGAAAGAAAGAAAGAAAGAAAGAAAGAAAGAAAGAACAAATGGGTGAGCGAACAAATGAACAAAATGGACGAAAGTAAGAAAATGCATTTTTCCAGCATGTGGTGTGGTCATATTCACTGGTGGTCCCTTTGTGGCAGAATGTATTGCTGTGCATTAATTTTGTATTAGAAAATTCTTTGTATCAATTAATTTTTATTAGAAAAATGGCTGATATTTATAAATACCCAATGCACTTTTAAATATATTCCTGTGACTTGGAACGTAACTGATTGCCAACTGCAGGAAAGAAAGCAGCATACACAAGTCTGTAATTTTAAGTAATTGTAAGCAGTGAATAGTTTTTTTAATTCTTTCTCTTACCAAATGCCTTAGAGTGAACTATTGATACTTTAAGTGCCAGTTAATGAGAAATGGGTGGACTCTGGGGAGTTTTGTAGCTATTCTCCTCTGCGTACCCCTTTACTTCCACTGCGTAGCAAAAAGAGTTTTACCAGAAATTTAAAACTTTGCAACAGAGAATTAAGGTCGGATTCAGGAAAACTATGAAACGAAGATAGAGATTTTTCACATCCCTTGATACCTTTCTTTTAAAATATTGCTTAATATCTCTAAGCTCAATATTTTAGTTGTCATGTGGGTGGAGGAAGGACATGGGGGGAGAGTCAGTCATAGCTCTTCTATTGCATGCAACACAAGTGCTTTAAAGTGCTTCTCTCCCCACAAACAGCTGCACAGGACATTCTTGCATGTTGCTCAAGATGGCTTTTTCCCTAATAGTACTTCCCTCCTTGCATCACCACCTTGCAAATCCATGTATAGTTTTACCCTAAAAGACTTCTGAATGGATGTGTGTGGTCCAAAACACTGTTCGTGCAAGCCGTGTGGGCTCTGCATTGTATCCAGCATTGATGAAACACAGTGCCCTGAAAGTTCCTCAACCCCACATACCCAGGTTTTAATAGTAAGGAGTGAACTCATTGCCCTGGCTTTTATGAGGGACATGATCATATGGAGATTTCACATAACCACAACACTTACAAATAGCCTCTGAGACTTTGAGGAAAGAGCGCTGTTATGACAATCCATCTTCTAGTATCATTTCCTCAAAACAAATCTCTTAGAATCATTTCCTTTTACAAACCACACATTTCTGCCTTCTGTCACGAGTGTTTAAAAAACACAGCGACACAGAGAGGTGATATAATGCAGTCATGCTTCTGAGAATTTGGGTGAAGAGTTGATGTAATAATAATAAAAAATTTCTAAGTTCATCTCCTCTTCTCCCATGCTCTTCTTTTCTGGCCATAAATGTCCTATTTATTTCATCCGCGTCAAAGTGTATGACTGTAAAATATTTATTACATGCAGTAAAATGCTGAAGGCCGTGACAAATCTACTATTGGGTTTAATGATGCAGGATGGTTCTGTCAGAGCAAGTCTAGTGCAGTGGTGAAGAAACTGAGTTAGAAATCAGGAAGCCATTGCTTGATGTCTCACTTTTCCCATGAACTCCCTAGGCAGCTTTAGGCAAGCTGCTCACTCTTAGAGAAAGGTGGGGTAAATCATAGGTATCCTTCCGTCTCGAGAGACCATGGCAACGTGCTCTGTATGGAGGACTTCGACGCTGTATGCGAAGCTGAAGTGTCCTCTCCAGAGCACGAAGCCTGGGTGAAATAATATGGAGGATAGGCTGTTACCCAAGCAGCAAATCTCCCTTCTTCAATGGAAAGGCAAGAGCCAATACAACTGGTTCCAGCGACGTCGCAGGAGTTGCTAGAACAACAGGAATTGCCTCCAGGACTCCGGCTCCGGATTTTGCCTCGAAGTTGACTCCTGAAGCCTTTTCCATCAGTGGATATAGCCACAAGGCAGTGGAGGTTTGAAATCAGAGTTTTCCTTCTCCTAGATGGGCTGCCTTCCCAGGCTAACGAGTCCCACCTACCCAGACATAGGTGGGGTAAAAATATTTTAAATAAATCAATAAATCCGTTACTATTACCTCCACTCTGAAAGCAAGACAAGGAGATTTCCACAAAATGTGCCAGATGCCTCTTCTGCATTTTGTTGTTGTTGTTGTTGTTTAGTCATTAAGTCGTATCTGACTCTTTGTGACTCCATTGCATTTTAATTGCATGCATTTCACTTGTACCTTATTGTTCTCTTCAGTTTTTCTGAGAGATCAAGTTTTTGAAGATGTCCTTTTTTTGGTGTCTTTCACCCCCCATAACATTCCATGAATTACGGCTAGCTTCTTAACCTCCTGAGCACTGGCAACGGAGGAAATGTTCCCTTCTCTTCCTCTGCCTCCTCTTCACAGCCTGACAGCCATGCAGCCTGTGGCTTCCTTTAGGGATTCAGCCCATCTTGTATTTGGTCTTCTTCTTTTCCTCCTGCCTTCCACCCTCCCCCTGTCTTTTCCAGAGGATTTTGCCTTCTCATGATGTGTCCAAAGTAGGGTGGAAATCAATTGGCAACGGAGGAAATGTTCCCTTCTCTTCCTCTGCCTCCTCTTCACAGCCTGACAGCCATGCAGCCTGTGGCTTCCTTTAGGGATTCAGCCCATCTTGTATTTGGTCTTCTTCTTTTCCTCCTGCCTTCCACCCTCCCCCTGTCTTTTCCAGAGGATTTTGCCTTCTCATGATGTGTCCCAAGTAGGGTGGAAATCAATTATCAGAAAATTAATATATAAAGTGGCATAGTGTTGAATTAGCTTGCTAAGCAATTCATTCAGCGCTGGATTCAAAGGGCATTAAACACACACACACACACACACACACACACAAAGAAACTCACACACACACACAGAAACTCACACACACACACACACACACCCCTTCCCATCTTTGTTTTTCCCTCTGCATGGGAGTGCAAGGGAGCTTTTGGTTTCCTAGTAACTGATTTAAGCAAAGTGACAGCTTATGCAATCCTCTTGGTTTGGCAGATGTCTGAACCAAACCAAAATGGAGCAATCCTTCCAGCATCCCCCCCTTGTGCAAATGATCAGTAGACCTGACAGGGGACCAGAAAGATGCAGGTAAGTCTGGATAAGAGATGGGCTGGTTCACAATTGTTTGTAATGCATGTGGTTGCCAGAAAAATGATCAAACTAACCTGTCTCCAAAGCAGACCAAGCGGCAGGACAAATCCCTGTGTGGTCGCACCCTTAGTCATACATAAGACAAGAGGAGAAATTGATTTACTCAAAACAGGATTTTTATTTTGGGATCATCAGTTATAGGCCTGTTTTAACCTGCCTACCTCTCTCCTTGAACAGTCCAGCTCAACTGACTCAGAGGCCTTACTCCCATAGCATTTCAATCGCGCTAACCAATCATCATTCAGTCCTTCAGCTGTCAATCACAATAGCACTCTACCTTCTCTACAACAGCGGCATTCAAAACTGTTTACCTACAAACCCAATAAAGGTCCGTGTCCAACATGTATAAACAGAGGCTTGGAATGGGTGGAATTGCCACAAGTATCTGATCCAGCAAGCAAAGCCCACACCAAAGGTTGCAGCCAGTAGATAACTCTTTTTGATGAGATTGTTTAAGGGAAGGTGGAAGCAGGTTTGGAAAGGGAGCATTTCTTTTAAAAGTGGTGGTGGTGGAGAAATCTCTCATGCCTTATAGTTCCCAGAAGTCTTTTGGTGAAAAGCCAAGAGAATTAAGTCAGCTTGTACCTTTACAGTAAATATGTGTGCTTGCTTAATCTTAACCATGCATGCACTTTACAGCACTGTAGTATCCAACATATGCCTATGGAGATGTGAGCCCTGTTTAGTTCAATGGGACTTCCTCCCAAGAAAGTGTGGATTGCAGCTAATTATTACTGATGAATTATTACTACATCAGTTTTCAGATTAAATTCAGTTTCCAGTATATTTTTAGAGTTGGGATACTAGAGTTGGGATCTGCACATACTTTTTCCCCCCATTGAGACCAGAATTCCATTCAGGGTAGGCTGCTAGGGACTCATTTTAGAAGCAGACGCACTGAAGGTGAATAGTGAGTGGAGCTAAGCCACTGTCGCCTTCCATGGCACCAAATGCCACCCCCTTTACTCTTTCTGTCTGTCACCCCCTTCTCTCCCCCTTCACCAACACACACAAATTTCACACTCAGCAATTCACTGGGGAACAGACAGATTGCTTCTGACAGGCATCTTTATCATCTGCAGAAGGCTTCTGAAGTTAATACAAAGTCTGTGAGGAGCCAACCTTGGCTTCAGGATATCCCCTTGTGCTCACTACCATTCACAAAGACATGCCAAGCAAGGGAAATTCCCAGAAGCTGGGAGTTTTTTTTTCATCAGTTAGCCTTTGTTTCATCTGTTTTTTCATCAGAAACCCCCCTTTTTTTCATCAGTTAACCAACACAAAGCAAGTGTCAGGGCTGTTTTGCAGCAAATGTGAACAACGGTGGAAGCTGATAAAACTGATTTCAAGGGAATGTTGAACTTGTTCTGTCTTTTAGTCTGAGTTTTATAGGAGCTAGCCAAGGTGCTGATCCACAGTGCCAGAATAGATTCTCCAGCTTGGATAGGTCCTCTAAAGCAGTGGTTCTTAACCTTGGGTTACTCAGGTGTTTTTAAACTGCAACTCCCAGAAACCCCAGCCAGCACAGCTGGTGGTGAAGGCTTCTGGGAGTTGCAGTCCAAAAACACTTGAGTAACCCAAGGTTAAGAACCACTGCTCTAAAGTTCAAATTAAGACCCACAGCGAATTCATTGCACCTGCAAAATCAGAGTCATCAGGTACCACTGCTCCCTTCTTCCATGGCACTAAGAGTTGACAACTGCATTGAGTTTCCAAAGAAATACAGTGCACAGATGGTTTCTGGCTGTTATTTATTTATTTAGTTATCTATAAGTAAGAAGTATTACTTGTGTTTCCAGACAGTGATGAAGTCTTAGATGCCAGTGGGCATTCAGTGCCTTTCTCAACTGGCATGTCCAATCTGGCTTGGTCCATTGTTTTTATATTTTGATTATATTTTGCTCTTGGATCCATGATCGAAGAGCAGCATACAAATATTTTAAATAAAATAAATAGATTAAAAGGTATCGTGTATAAACTGGGACTTGACATCTGAATTTCACTGAATCTGCAAGCTTCATCTTGAAAACAAGCTGCCTTCAAGAACAGTGGCCATTACATTTGGCCAGGGCTCCCCTCCACCAACCTTGGACATCTTGCTTCATCCCTGAATCCTCAGATGTTATAATGTCTAAGCTTGAAGACAAGTTCTAGGGGACTCTGAAGCTTGCTTTGTTTAGAAGGTTTTAGCACCTCAGTAAAAATATTTCTTGTCCCAGAAATATAATCTGAGTAATACAGATAGGAAAAGAGAAAGCTAAATGGGATAGCTAACTGGGATTCCTGTCATGTAAGGACAACAAAAAGAGAAAAACCTGTAACATAGGTCTAGACTCTAGAAAGCATCTGGCCTTCTATTTCTGAATCTCGTTTCTTATAACCCCTGCCACCCTGGCCAACAGTGAGATATGACAGAGGTAGGTTGTTCTTCAACACCAAGAGAGATACAGGTTCACCAGATTTCTCTAGATATTTGAAACAATCTGTATTATCTCCAGGCTGTAAAAGGAGATAGAAACTGTACCTTCATGGGTACAGTCTGGAACTTCACCCTGCAAGGTGCTAAATTCCTTTCACCAGGGACTAATTGACTATTAATAATAAAAATTGGAATGCTACAGCTTGCCCAAGGCCACACAGGCTGGCTCTTGTGGGATTCACCATGGGGAACTAGACTCTCAAACTCTTACTCTGAGCTATCCAGTCAGCTCAATTGACTAGTCGCTCTATAATTATTGACTGTTTGCTCTGGAATATTATTTATTTATTTAAAATGTTTTTCTCTAACCTTTTCCTTTTAATTAAAAGGACCCAAGTCAGCTTACAACAATTAAAAGACAATATTTAAAGGCTACTTACAAACGTAGGTTTCTTATCAGCACCAGGCAGTAAGAGTACCCCTTCCTCATTCTTTTTAGGAATAAGGTAATGCCTCACAAAATGGCAATGGATAAGGGAAACTATCCATTTTTAATTTAATTCAGTTCCAGACTGATATAGGCAGCCTTATATAGTTCCATATATACAGTACAAAATCAATGACAACATTACAAAAAAGGATTGTTCACAGACGCAACCTTCAGATTTTTTTCTAAAACAATCTGAAAATGCAGCACCCACAATATTATTTCTATCCGGCGATGCCTTCTTCTGCAGTTCAGAGCCTGGCCCAATGCAATCAGCACCAGAAAATCGAGTTGGTGTTCAAAACCCGCAGGATTCTTTTGCCCCACATGCTGTATTCAAACTGCAGCGCTCCGTGGAAAAAGTATATATAACCTGCAGCAGAAAAGACATCATAATTAGGCAAATTCTTTGCTACAATATTTTTTTTGGTTAAAATGATTTCTGGTGGATTTTAAAGACACCATGACTAGGAACCTGACATTTCTTTACCTGTAGGAACATCACATGCTGGACAAACAGAAATATATTCTTAGGGCATAATTAGGAAAAATGTTCCCTCAAGTAGTGAAAGGTTTGCTTGCCATAGTTCATCCTTTTTCTTATCTTTATTTAGTGTGCTTTGTTTTTTATTGGTCATTGGATGGTAAATTCTGGTCTAATTTGCATGTCTGCTTGGTCATGGGTCTCCTTGGAATTCACATCATATGATAAAAATTGCTATTTGTAGGGACTATTATTGAATCTGAATAATGGAGTTGGAAGGGGCCTATAAGGTCATTGAGTCCAACCCCCTGCTCAAAGCAGGAATCAAACTAAAGCAGATCTGCCAGATGGTTATCTAATTTTCCTTCAAATGCCTCCAGCATTGGTGCTCTCACAATCTACCAAGGTAATTAGTTCCATTGTCATACTGCTCTAACAGTTATGAACTTTTTCCTGATATTCAGCCTAAATCTGGCTTCCTGTAGTTTGAGACCATTATTACATGTCCTGTGCTCTGGGATGATCAAGAACAGATCCTGACCCTATTCTTTATGACTACCTTTCAGATATTTGGAAAGTGTTATCATATCTCCCCTCAGTCTTCTTTTCTCAAAGTTCTTTCAGTCTGTTCTCATAGGGCTTGGTTTCCAATCTCCTAATGATCCTCGTTACCCTCCTCTGAACTTGCTTCAGTTTGTATATATTCCTTAATGTTCGATCAGTTATTTCCCAAACTAGGACGCCTGAAGAAATTTCCCTGGAGGTCTTTTGTTGAAACGTTCTGTAGGCCTTTTGTGGGAACATCCAAGAATCAGTTTCCCAGACCTATCAGAAGAACAAATGGCCTAGTTCGACCCTTAAAAAGTCTCACTTATGTGATGTCTACCCCAGCACAAAAAAGCAGATGACTCTCAGCAATTTCTTCTTCCCACCGCTGCCCCTTAATCATAATATTATGCTGTCAAGTCAGTTCTGATCTGTGATGACTCCTGGGTTTTTTAGATGACCAGCACTTGGAAGTTATTTACTAGCCCCTCTTTCTGATGGCATTCTGGGGACATGCAGTTTGTTCACAGCTGTCCTGGCATGCAATCCCATACAGTCTGGGTAATCCTAATGATCTCCTTTCCTGGAAGGCACAGATTTGAACTCTTGGTCCCTGGCTCTGTAACTGAGTGCTCCTGGAAGGCACAGTGGGGATTTGAACTCTTGGTCCCTTTCTCTGTAACTGAGTGTTCTAATCTACTCAGCTATGTCGTTATGCCCACTGAAGAACAAGTTGAATATAGGGCTGTAGCAGCAGAGGGATCAGTGAAATCTATGAAGATCACATCCATTAATGGAAGCACCACCCCTTAACATAAATACATACCATTTTTCTCATAGGCTGCATCTACTCGGGATCCAATTCCTGGGAAATCGTCCTCAATAAATCTAGGGTACTCTTTGTCTATCACTTGACTCTTTTCGTCATAGCTACATTGGAAAGAAAAACATACATATGTCTGTTTAGTTGTTTCATGTGCCACAAATCTGTTTCAAGCATTATTATTCAATTGCAGTATTATTCAATAGTATAATGCAGAAAGAATGAAACCCCAGTTAAGGAAAATTATGATCAAAGTAAAAATATAAAGGACCCACAATAGAAATGTGTATATTTCCAGCTATGGTATTTTAATACTACGAACGGAAAGCCTTGATTCAACAGAAACACACACGAGGTAACCTGAAGAGGAATTCACAACATGTCTACACCAATCAGTATAAGGACAAACACACAAATATATATATTTCCATAATATATGTTATATCCACAAAACAAGTGATATAAATATCTTAGAAGGGAGTTCTGCCAACTGTTTGGTGCACAACAAACCCTTCACAAAAGAATGGACACATTGGTAACTTCTAATGTTCATCTGTAAGATGCGACTGTTGAGGACTTAAGGAGTAAGTGAATGAGAAGATGTGATGGAGTCAATATAAGGTCTGAATAACCTTTGCCCCCAATATTTCTGAGTTCAGAGTATCCAGAAGAATGGTTTGGATCCAGATTTAAAGTAGACCTATTGAAGTCAAAATGACTTTGTTAGTAAGTCCATGATTTCAGGATTTCTATTTTAAACACAGTCAAATTTGCGTCCAATTCATAGGTCAGAAATTCAATATATAGATGGTGAGTGGGAATGAAGAATGAAAGAGAATGAGTCATGAATCTAGGAGCAAGAACAAAATAAGAAGAATTGCTTACATACCTCCAGTATTTGTCTCCGGTGAAAAAGAGAGTTTTGCCGGTGTCACGAATGTGGACAGCTGCATCTATTGCCTTCACGGATCTTGGAAGACCCAATTCATAAATTTTCTTAGGGTAGCCCTCAACAATGTCATAGCCATTCAAAGCCCAGAATTTCCTCCCTGTATTTAAATAGGGATAATATGCAAGAATTAGGCCTGGTTTTGGACCCTGCTTTACCTACATGCCCATTGCAATAGGACTTTAGAGATAATAATGTCTCCGCTTCAGTCCTGCTTCTGTATGATAACACTGAGGATGGTTTTTACTGCAGAGGGACAACATTCTGCAAAAGAAGCACCCTTCTGTTGTTTCACAGAACAACAGCAAAACTCAGAAAAGCTGAGGTTCTAGTTGCTGAAAATGTAAAAGTCCACTGTTGATTTGTTACACAGCTTTCAGGCAATGTACCGAACAGGGTTTGGGTTCTTTTCACTGCTCTGCAGAAACCTACCTCTGAAAAGCAGCACGTGATCATTGTCAGGCTGTTCATAGGCGGCATCAATCTTGCTTGGAATTTGTGGCCAGAACGACTTAATTTGTACCAAATCTGCTTCAACCATCTGAGGATGGAGGCGCCAGAAGAACCTGTGAGAAGAGGAAGAATATTTTGATGTGACATGCCAACAATCAATGAAAGATCTTGATTAGTTCTTTAAAGGAATCTAGCAATTAACCCTCTGGGCTCTTAATTGCAAAGTATTTTATGACACAGTAAGCCAAACACGGACCTTTACGCATTTATTGCTACCTTCTAAGGTCACCAGTTTTTTCTAGTCCTAAAGCTGGCAGCAAAGATGGGAGGTGGATGTGTTCTCTTCTGAGACATCTTGTCACTATTTCCAAAGGGTTTGCTATTTTCTTGAATCAGAACGAACCTACTATAACATTCTCCCTATTTAACCTCTATTTTTGCCTTTTCAGGGTCTTTCCTTCCTTCTTTTTCTTTACACCCCACCTTTTTCCCAGTAAAGGAGAAAACCAAGACAGCTTAAAGATTTTTACAGTTAAAAAGCAATAAATTACAATATTAAAAAGCCTCTATTTCACCCATGAAACGATGGAGAACAAACTTGACTGGTGAGGTGCACTCGGCTTGATGGATCTCAGGTCATGTAACAATTCATTTGTATAATTCAGTCCTATTAAGCATTATTCAGTTTGTCACTGTGGATGTGCTTACAGAAGCACACCTACCCTTTATCCCTCTGTCATTGTGTCATTCACAGTTACAGCACTGCACTTGAAAATGAGAGAGTTCCTGGTTGCGTGTAAACCCTACACAACAGCAAGAACCCTGGAAAATTTTGGTTCTTGCTTGTGTATAGGGCCAACATGTAAGCAGGACTATTTTCCTCTTCATTCCCAGCACTGAAGCTATGAAGAACAAAACAACAGAGGAGGCAGGGCCAGGTGACCCTCTATAAACATGTTGATAACATGGGGTTGACTAATGTCTGAGCAGAGATTTTGTTTTAATATATGCACACATCACAGAAGTTCATGAATACAGAGCAGACACTTGATATTTCACTTGGGTCTCACCTGTCCTTGAAGATCATCATTTCTCCTCGAAGTTCTGTGATGGCATCAAGTGTCAAGTCTGGACTGCATTTCTCTGGTGTTTTGGGATGATCAGGATGAGGGTCATGGTCTCCTGCACCTGTGCCAGGAAAAGACATGTCGTGATAGCTGTGCAATTTTCAATTGTTGGCCACAATTGTGTGTGCATAGCATTGAGCCCCTATGCAATGCTACATGAAAAGGGGTGGGAGAATTGATCAGTGACCAAAAAAAGCTGCTGGGTCAAACTTTGGATTATTTCCCCCTCCCAAAGATGGAAAGCCAGAGATGGGATAAACCACATTCCAATCATCAGTGGATTTCTCAGGTTAGAGCAAAAGTCTTGGGGAAGAATTTATTCCCATGATTTTTATCATTATACGTTATGCACCCAAAAGAAAAGGAGGCAAAATCCAGACATACCATAGAGTTCCTGGATTCCTTGTGCATCATCATATGGAAGCCGGAAGCCAGTGTTTCCAGTGTAGGTATAAATTGGATACATCAGGGCTCCTGGATCTCTGGAATGCTCAAGGCCCAAAGAATGGCCAAGCTCATGAGCAGCCACAAGAAATAAATTATATCCTAAGGAAGATCATGCTGTGCATTAGGAAATCAGTAAAACTTTCATCACATCTACTGCTTTATCTTGCTCCCATTGTTTAATCTCTTCAGATCATGTTAAAAACATTGATATAGAATTCACTATTTACTTTACTTCAAGAGAGTAGATATAGTATCTGCCACTGAAATTAACTAATGGAAAAACAAAATATAATATGCATTTGGTCAAGCTCAAGCTGCAGTCCGTTGTACCTACTCGAGAGTAGGGCACAACGAGACACTGTTTCAAGTTAACATGAATAGCATTGGTGTACTTAAGTGGGTATGTAATGTGACATGAACAAGGAACGTTAAACGGGAAATAATCCAACAGATCTGTTGATTTTACTGTTTGAGAAATTGCTGTAATGAACATTTATGGATCATCCATCATTAGGAAAAAGAAAAGTCTATTTATGAAATATTTCAGGGGTTAAACATTGTTGACATTGCATTGAATGTTGTTTGGAAACAGGCGCAATCAAGGTGGTAAATTAAATGTTAGAACTTCTGATACCTTTGGAATCTGTTGACCACAATTCATCCTCATCAAAATGAGCATCTCCTCCAGTATTTGGTCCAGGAGGGAAGGCATGAGCTAGGAGTCCAGAAGGTCCATCAAAGGGGTAGAAATCACCGTGCTCTGAAAGTATTTCAGAACAACTGTAAGTAACATGATAGTTTATAACTGATAACCAAATGATGAGATAGTACAAGTATGGACATTAAGTCATTTCTGTCTTGTTACCTTTCCTTCCGAAGGAGATCATGATGTCAGCAATACCTTCACGAATCCTAGTAAAGTTCAGTGGTGTCACATCAGACCAGACCTTGAAAGCCTTCTTGAATGCTCTGTCCACTTCAGATTTTTTCAGATCAGGCGTGTAATTCACAATCCTACCAAACAAAATCAATTGGTTCTTTTCAGGCTCAAAAAAATCTCAAAACACTCCTGTGAGACACCTCCCTCTACTGCCATTTTAGCAAATGCATGAATACAAACATATGCACTTTTCTTGCTAGGAAAGTTAAGTGTTTGGGAGCATGTGTATGTGCGTGTGTTGTAGGACTATAAACTGAGATTCTTTTTGGAGATGCTACAAAAGACAACATTTGTGTGTGTGTGCGTGCGCTGTAGGACTATAAACTGATATTCTTTTTGGAGGTGCTACAAAAGACAAAATTTACATACAGTTAAAGTTGCCCAAGGCCTCTTGATATAGTTAAACAGGGGATATGCTCCTAAACATGTCTATGTGGAATTTCTTTCTAATATCTAGATAGCTAAGTGTGTAATGTTTCTCCACTATAATATACAGGATATTCTGAAAAAACAAAGCCAGACAACTTCACCAAAGGATACTGATGGTTGAACTAGATATTTAAAACCTCAATTTCCTTCTAAGTTTGATTGGCTGTAGCCAGCATCTAATCTCATACATTGTCCTGGTCTGGTTGCTCTTTCACATTTTAAAAGTATGTATAAATCAAATTATACAGTACAGATGATTTTCATTCAAAGCCTCTGGTCTGGTTGCTCTTTCACATTTTAAAAGAATGTATAAATCAAATACAGTACAGATGATTTTCATCCATTGCCTTATGACCTTTGAAGTACTAGAGATAACAATACATGACATAAAAGCTTTTAAGACCTTATTCCATGCTGTGGATTCAGATCACAGCAATCACACAATTAAAATAATTTGTCTTCATGGTGTATATGCACAACACATAGGCTAAGTCTCTAATCCTGCTGTAAAAAATAAGTGCTTTAGAGAAGGGGTTGTAACCCAGCAGCTGACTCCATGCTTTGCAGTGGACCTCTGAGAACAGAATTTCTTTACGTATGTTAGCCTTTAGAGTTACAACTTAAACCTGTGTTTACCTTCCACTGACAGTGACAAAATCTAGCATCCTGGAATGCAAGATATGGAGCTGAGGAAAAGCACATGTGAACAGACATCTTTCACCCCTGAGGGACCACTGATTCTAAATACTTGCTAAGGGCAGAATTTGTAGACTTCTTCTTAAAGAGGATCAGAAGCCAGCATTTCTGGTGTATTTGTAAACTGAATACATCAAAGCAGAAAATTTAGCTTTTGGACTACAAATCTCAAAATCTGCCAGCCAGCATGACCATTGTTTCTAGTGGCAGTGGGATTCCGATAGCTGTAGTCCACAAAGTAATTTTTCCAAGCTATGGGCAGGATTAAGAGTTATATTGATCAGTGGTCCGTTGCAGTCTAGGGCATTTCCTTTTATCTTCTTGATTTACTGGCAGAGACGTAATTCTGAAGGCACCAGCCTAGTGTTGTTTAAAATACTTTATTTCATAGGTATAGTACTGGAATTGCTCAGAAGAAAAAATGCTTGACTTTGGACTGGGAGGGGGGTTTCTAACCTGTATGTCAAATTATTGTGGGACCATTTCAGCTTCCGGGGGAAAAAGTTGTACTCGCCGACATCAGGAACACCGCATCGTGGCTGTTGCATGATCTCGTACGTTTCTTCATCAAGCTGGCCTGTCACTTCCAGTCCAAAAAACTCTTGCATCTCTCGAAGTTTGGAGGAAAACGTATTACCTGATTTCCTCAATAGGCCAGCAGGGTTGTGCTGGAGATTGTAATGAGTCTTCAAATAACGCTGAAAAGAGAGAAGAAGAATTTGGGATAGCACCATAGTTTATTAATTAATTATTGCTACAGATGCACCAATATACTTTTATTGCATTGCTATTATTGCCTTCTTTCATTATCATTGTTACAGTATATAGAGCAATATAAGTAAAAGGAGAACTGGCTGGATATCTCAGTGGTTGAAGTATCTGGCTATGGAGCCAGAGGTTGGGAGTTCAATTCCCCACTGTGTCTCCTGTAAGTAGAGCCAGCCTGTGTGGCCTTGGGCAAACTGCACAGCCCCAGAGCATTCCCAGAAGTAGGGAATAGTAAACCACTCTGTACTTCAGAAACCCTGGAAAGGATTGCTATAAGTTAGAACTGACTTGATTGCACACAATTATTCTATTACGTAGAAGAATAAGTCTATGCTTTGTGTTCTTTTAGAACTGACTTGACGGCACACAATTATTCTATTACGTAGAATAAGTCTATGCTTTGTGTTCTAACAATACAGGTTTTGATAAAATGGCCATGTCATCTGAAAGACTAATTAGTTTTATTTGACCTAAACCTTCATGGATTGCAGCCCAGTTCATCACATGGAAGCCTGTATGCGCCTGATGAAGCGAGCTGCAGTCTCTGAAAGTTCACAGCAAACACATTAGTCTTTACAATTCCACAGCACAGCTTGTCGTTCGGACAAGCTAACACGGCTGTACCACCTGCCGCTCTCCATGGTAAGCATTTTGTATAAAAGACAACCGAGGAGGGAGAGAAGGAGAGAGAAGCAGCAGAGTAAGAATGCGTGAAAAGAAGTCTAGACGGTACCTGTGCAAACTGTAAATCTTGCTCTGTGAACTCATCACTGTCTTTTTCTTCTGACGAGAGTGGCAGCCTGAAGCACCAGGAGAGGCCAAGCAGCAGGAGAAAGGCAGCTGCAGAAAGTGGATGCATTCTGTTGGCTTGATCCAAAGAATTCTGGTAGTTTAACATCTAACACGGTTTGACTTTTATAGAGCTGCCCCAGTGACTCATGATCTCTGAGAGACAAATTGCCACTTCCGAGTGATTGTAAAATAAACATGCTTACAGTGCTCTTCCTCCCCACCTTTCCACCAAGGAGGTTTGTTTTGTTTGGGAGTCGAGTGTCACACCAGTGGCTCAGAAAGATGGCCTCAGCATATTCCCAGGTGTTGTGGGAAAGACGGAGCAGAGGGAACGGAGCATTTTCGATTATGTTGCAATAACTTGCTTGGCCTACTTTTGTTTCTCCCTTGAAATAATAATTTCCTCTCTTTTATTGTGTACGTCTGCTGAGGCCCAGATAGTATGAACTCTGTCAAAAGTACCAAACACCCCCACACACACACACACATCCACATAGACCCCCCCCCACACACACACACATACACATAGGCAAAAATAAATGTGTTGAGGCATCTGGAAAGTGGAAATATATGGGACTGTCTGTGTTACCCTCTTTTTTTTTGAACTCCACCTATGTCCATGGGGCTTGCTTCTGTTTGCAGCAGCCTATCCTAAGATCTGATAGAGATTATCTTCTCTGTGTCCCAGGTACAGTGGGGACAATGTTGGATCAGGAGAACAGAAAGAGACCTGTCATTGGCCACACTGAAATTTTGGAATGCTTCCCCAAAGTGGCAGGTTTATAGCTCTCTTTGATTGTGTTTTGCCACTTGAAGAACGCCTTGTTGTTCAGGCAGGCAATTTATTCTGGGGTGTTATGTGATGTAGTATTTATGCTGTTGTTAGGTGCTGTCAAGTTGGAACAGCCTTCAAGGTAAGTGATGTATTTAAGGAGTGGTTTTACCAGCTCCCACCTCCCTAGTGAATCGCCATGGGATTTGAACCCAGGTTTTCTGAGTTCTAGTCTGCCACTCTCTCCACTACATCACATTGGGAATCCAATATTCATGTTACTGATGCCTGTAGATTATATTATGTGTGTTCATCGCTGTCAGCTGTCCTAATTAGAGATGGGCATGAACTGTCAGTTTGGCAATTCATGCTGGTTTGTTTATCGGCTGAACAGGTGTTTGGCACTTCAAAGCTGTGCCTCGTCCAATGGATGCCCAGTCAGAGGCACCACCCAGGACAGCTGCAGCCTCCAAGTCAGTGCCCACTGGAGGAAGCAAGGCTTCGAAGAGCTGAACTTTTATCAGCTGATAAACAAACCAGCACAAAGCTCCGGTTCACCAGTTTCTGACCATCTCTAGTCCCTATGTAAAAAGAGAAGAGCATCATATAGGTTCTGTATAAAATAAAATGGTCAGAGTCCAACTGAAAAATTACACCAGCATGAGTTCATTATGTAGTAAGTTTCAGCTATGAATTGCTGTGACTTAATAAGTCAGTGTAGGCATCTGATGTTGTGTGCTGAGTCACTCATTTGGTGTGCAACTACAAATGCCTACATCAGTTTCTTAACATCTCATTAATTAACAGCTGAGATTAAGGCTAATGGAGTAATGTTCATGGGCATCTTCAATAGGATTTTGGCCAATAAACTAAACCTTGGTGACAGTGAGGGTGGTAATGAGTGACTGTTTTAAATTTCCCATAATGTACCAGAGTGATGCTGCCATATACAGTGGCATCATTCAGAAAATTTTAGCAGGAGATTCTTTTCTTAATTTCGTGGTGAGAGGGAATAGTGAAAATTTTAGTGGATAATGTTGTTTTTTAGGATAGCAAGTGATTTTTTTAAAGAAGAGACTTAACAGAGTTACGAGATTTGAAATAGCCACTGTTATTCATTCATTCATTCATTCATTCATTCATTCATTCATTCATTCATTCATTTAATGTCTTTTCTGTTTTTTGGTTGTTTGTTTGGGGGGCTTGGATTTTTTTTTCTGGTTGGAAAAAGCATAGCAGTCAGCTTCTCACAATATCGCATTCATGACAATAACCATCTTGGCTGTAACTTCTTCCAGCTGAAACCTTGCCAAGATCCATGACAATATTTGTCCATATCTGATCCTCCATGAAGAATCCCTTCCTGAGAATAGGAAAATGCAAGCAACAAGGTCAGATGATAGACTGAATGGTGCAGGTAGGATAAAGATAAGATTATAGACTGAGTGGTGCAATTAGACAGAAAGGCTGTCACTGGGAAGGGAGGAAGGGAGGGACTTTAAAAGGGCAGTGGACCCAATCCTCTTTGATTACTTCTTAAAAGGGCAACAGAGGGGAGCCCTACTGTTCTTTATACTGTGTTTGTCTATTCCCTCTGTCCCCATTTTTCCTATTCCCTGGATTTGAAACTAGGGGAGCTGTAACTACAGCACTTATTTAATCAATGCAACTGGAAAGACAAGGAGAGTTCATTTCTAAAGTAAAGAGCATTGTACATGCCTTCATCTTTCTGATTTTCCTCTTCTTCCTCTATTTATAATCGCCATCCATGAATGCCAGGTTTACATAAGAGACACATGGGTGTGCTACTCTGCCCCAGCAATGACTGTAGGCTCCTTGCTTCATGCCATGGTCACCTTGGACATACATAAATACTGCTGATTCAGTTATTTTTATAGACACTTCCTTTTTTGTTTTTACCTGAAGACAATGCACATCACTGGTGAAAACTATTTTTAAAAGGGCATGAAAATAATGTAAAAGCTGAAAATAAAACTCTTTGATACCAACGAATTGGTTAAATTTCAAGTTCCCCCATTCTAAAATGATGCTCAAATGTTGAGTTTTTCCTGTCCCATCATAAGGCTGCACCTCCATTATGCATCTGTTGTTCTGTATACATTACATCAGTTTTAATGATTTCCTGACTGTGCCCACTATTTTTAATGTATCTATTCAATAGCTCAGTGTTTTGCTGCTTACAGGGCATCCAGACTGTTGACAAAACCATAGTCAGACAGGAAATACTGCTGGTTAAAGTTCAATCAGTTCTTTAGATAATGGCTGTATTATAGCAAATGGTGCCAAGGAGCGAAAATAATTGAAGGTGGGCAGAATTGCTCATTGGGGGTTTTTTTTGTTCCACCTATCTCTGGGTGTGGCAGCTGGGCAGGGAAATTGCCTATGAAACTGTGATGCTGTAGATTAACTAGGACTTTCCCTATGTATCTGGAGGGGAGGAATTTGAATGCCATGGGACATTAACAGACCCATTGATTGTGTGCTCATTTCCTCTGTACCGGCCCATGAATTCACTTGAGTCATATTCATTGCTGTTTATTCTTTACTCTATTTTCACCTGTAGCACATTCTGTTTGTAAAAGACCAACAGAGAGTCATTGGGTCAGCTGGCAGTTTCAGAAGGAGTGCTAATTTCTATCTGTCGTCTCAATCTTTGTGTACTGTTTTATTACTCTACGTTGCCTCCTTTCCATGATGTTGAAAGAATGCAGGGCCTACATAGAGCTGTGCAACATCCCTGCCAAGATGTATACTTATGTTTTATCACATGACTGCACCCAGGAAGGAAGGAA